TCAGCATTGAAAGGTGTTTGACTTGATTGTTGATAGTCATTATCATGTGTTTGAGATTCGTAGGATGGATATGATGATGATGAATTTGTACTAAGACTATTGATACTAAGATTTGATATTGTACGATTCGTTGTTGAAATAATTTTCGAATTTTTCTTTGATGATGATGAAACTGAGGATGATGATGAAGATGATGATAATGCAGTTGTATTATTGATAGGAGGATAAAGATAATAATGATATTGTGGAGGTGTAGAAATGATAAGTGTTGATGTTTGCATTACGGTGGATTCATCACCATTAGATAATGATTTTGGTGGTGAGAGAAAAAAAGGTTCTTTTTGTACTGTAGTTTGATGATGATCGTGTAAAATATAATCACATTTTGGATCAGTTACCGGTCGAAAAAGAAGACCATTATTTAGTGAATCTCCTTCATCAGATTTAATAATTGTTGTTGACGAATTCGTTGACATCGATATTGTATTATTAATACCATTACTGTTTGTACACAGTGGGATAGATGAATCTAAATAACGATATTATTAAAAAAAAGAAGAACAAAAAAGAAATGAAAAAAGAAAAAAGCCTTCGAATACACTCCATCCATCTACTCTGTCTCCCTCTCTCTCTCTCTCTCTCTTTTTTGAATATGTCATCGTCGTAAACTCTTATAATGACCTTCTTTCATACACTTACCGTTGTAAGAAGAACTAGTAGCATTGATATTCTTGTCCGTTGTAGTTGAGACAAGAGACATCACTGATTGTCGTTCGCTACTATGATTTGTTGTAACCTTGTCAAATATATGAATATCTTCTTTTGATATTTCACAATGATTATTATTGATTGAAGATACAGGAAGAATAGATTCGACATCCGCACTGAGACGTTTATTTCCGTTTGTCCCTGTTGTTAATGTCGTCTGTTGTTTAGCTTTTCGTTGAGCACGTAGTTGGGTGGACGATGTACGTCGCAATTGTTTATTTTCTTCGGTCGATGTTGATGACTTGTTATTACTGCTATTTGATCGACCAATAAAATTGAAAAAACCATTACTAATTATTTTTTTAGCTGATAATGATGAAGATGATGATAATGATGGTGATTGTTGTTGTTGTGGAATTTGTGGATTAATAATTGTATTAAGGGAAGATGTTTTAACAAGTAAATTATTCAACGGCATAGATTTCTCAATTGACGATGTTGATTGTCGCTTTAATAAATCTATAAAAAAAAAAAACATTCAATGATTGATTGAAATAAAAAAAAAGAAAAGAAGGAGAGGTCATTCGTACTTGTATTAGAATTGTTCGTGCTATTCGATTCTTTTTTTTGCGAGACGTTGTTGCTGCCGTCATTGAAAGTGACTGTAGCAGTGGTAGTAGTGCAATGAAGGTGAGTAGCAGCAGTTGTTACTCGTCGACTAGTAGTGCAGTTTAGCTCGTCGACATTTTCTTTTTTTTCTTCTTCTCTGTGTCGTCGGCTATCGTTGTTACTCTCTTCTTTCGATAGCGGTGATGGAGAAAGAGAAAAAGAACGAAGAATTGTGTTTGTAGTGGTCAACGGGTTAGTAGTGATTGTCCTCCTCGTTGTTTCAATTCTGTCTTTTTCTCTCAATGTCCCGACAAGACGTTGATCATCACATAGCTTCTTTTGTTCTTCTTTGTCGCCATTGCTATTACCATTACCATTGGACAGAGGCGATGAAGACGCAATTCTAACTGTTGGTCGATAATTACTACTGCAATAACTTTCCTTGACCGGTAGTGATGATGTTGACCGAACATTTCTGGGTAAATGCCAATCAAAATGAACAGATTTTTTTATACGACAATTATTATTTGTATTTGTTGGTGATTTTAAACAGCTATTATTAGAGACACTTGTCCTATATATAGATGAAAAAAAAAAATTTAAATTGAATGAAAAGAAAAAACAATGAACTGACAATCACTTGTCATATCGCTTTTTGATTAGTATTTCATGTGAAAGAAAAGTAAATATAGGCAGACTGATGTGAAATTCACTTACGATTCTGTTTGATCTCGTTGCTGTTGCTGCTTTAATCCATCATCAGTATTGTTTGCTGTGATTGTGACGTTTGTGGTTGGCGTTATTTGAGCTGATGTGACGATAGCCTTTGCGGATCGCGTTTGATTATGATGGCGATTAGGTGACATTGACATAGTCATTATGCTACGTGTTGTTTTTGTTGTTGGAGAACCAATGTCGTCTCGACTTGTATCAATATTCAATGTTTGTAAAGTAAACCCAGCATATTGATTTAAAGATGACCCTATGGGAGACGACGATGATTGTTCATGACCTTTTGGACAAGTGAAAGGAGAAGTAGGAGTAGGAGTAGAAGAAGAAGAAGAAGAGGAAATTGTAGACGATGGATGAATGGTATTTGTTTGAGGGACTGGTGGTGATATAAACTTGTAATCGATACGTGGTGAATTTGGTTGTTGATATTCACTTAGTAAGGGACGAATTGTTGATGAATAAATACGTTCGTAACTTGGACTTCTGCGTCGAGATGTTGGAGAAAGAATAGGTGAAGATAAGGATGTTACTGTATTTGTCGTTGTCACTGAAGATGCCGTAGACGTATCACTGATAAAATCACTAGTATCAAGTGAAGGTGATCCACGTGTTGTAATTTGCACTATTGTGTCAACTGAAGATGACGAAGGAGAGGGTGAAGGTTCACGTCGTTGAATCGAAAAACTATTAGTCCGTTTCTATTGAAATGAATAAAATGAAAAAAAAAGAATTTCTTTTTCTCTTTATCATGTAATAGTTTCCTTAAAAAGTGAAAGACTATATGAAGACAACGTTATTATGTAATGCAACTAGTAATGAAAACGACCATTTAAACAATTTTTAATTCAGGAAGTGTTGTACAAAATTATTGTAGCCTTTATGTAGATTAAGTTACAGAAATTCAAATGAATTACATAAAATAATTTGTGAAAATTGTTAGTACAACTAATTATTATAATTAAAACTATTCTTTTGTTTTATATATTTACTTACCATGGGTAAACTTGAAATTTTTCCTTGTTGATGATCAACTGTACGTTGATCATATTTCTCATTGAATGAAATCGGTCTTCCAAAAAGTCTTCGTTGTTGTAATTGATGTTCTTGTTCTTGTTTTTGTGGATGATAATATCGTGCTACTTTTGGTCTCATACGTACACGATGTATATTCTTTTGTAATATTGGTTGTTCATTATCTAAACGTTTTCCAGAAGGTGGTAAACCAGATTCTTGAGAAATCGATGGACTCCAACTAGATCGTTTAAGTAAACGTTTTTCTTCCATAAAATCATTATTTCCAATTGCTTTTACAATTTCATTATAAATATATTTTGCAGATGGTAATGATTTATCTATTGAAAATGGCATATGGTCTTGTCGCAAGGTGTGACATTGAAGAGACGAATGGTGATCTCGCTGTGATGATGATAATGAAGACATAATTGCCTTATTTTCATCAATTAATATTGTTTTATCATCAATCTTATGTTCAGGAAATCGCATTCTTGTTTTATTCAATGTTCAAAACGAATAGACAAAACCTACAAGAAAAAAAAGAATGAAAACTTTTTCTTTTTATGTATTTATCATTGTTTCATTAGTATATCAAACTAAAACCTTTAGTATATCACAAGCATATAATATATCAGTAATTAGCTGAAACATGCTGTTCTATTGATAGATAAACAAATAGAAAAGCAATCCAAGGAAATTGGTAAGACAATGTTTCAAGAACGATGAGAAGACAAATAGTAACAGAAAAGCATCATAAATGTATGTACCTGATTAGTAAAAGATAATATGATTCTTCCGAAAAAAAGATTTTCAAATAAAAAATCTTTTTTACATTTATTGTGTATAATTATATAAAAATTAAAAGACGATATTTATCGTCTTTTATTGTTAATAGGTAATAATAGAGATAGTTAGATATTTATCTCATTTGATAATAAGGAAATATGGAAACAAGGTTTTAGTAGACATCGTCTACATCGAATGAATATATAAAGTATTTGCCTTTTTCTGTCTGTTATTTTCTCTCAGTTTGTCCTTCTGCCCTTTTCTCTTGCAATTCTCTCAAAGCTCGACACATATTCATTCTCATTTACATCATCTTTATGATCGTCATCTACTATGATGACACTATTGACAGCGTTAGTATCATTCTTATGTTGTTATTCTAGACTCATGTCATATCATCAAAACAAGCACTCACTGACGGACAATACTGGAATAGAAAAGAGAGAGCGAGAGAGAGAGAGAAAAATCTAAATATCGACCCTATTTTTTTGTCTCAAATATGTTTCATTTAATCATTATTGATCTTAATTCTGTCCATTTTAGATAATCGGTTATTGATTCACTTCTGTTTAGTCCCAGATGAATGAAGCATTAGTACGATCTTTCTTTTTTTCCTATGTTTAGTATAATACGTATGAACGATTTATCAATTATTATACTATATACTGATCTACAAATAGAGTCTTATTACGTATTATGAATAGATTAAGTGTGTAATAAACGAAACAATGCGCATAGATGTCTGCTTGCCTGCCTGCCTGCCTCTATAACCTTTTCATGCATCTTGAAAAGTAGTCTGTATGATTGAAATAAAAATCAAAAGTGTCTATGCTAGCATGAAATTACTTTTTTTTTCTTCATCTCTAGTAAGTTGAAGTAGATATTAACGAAGGTCATATATAGACATTCTATACTTCATATATACAGATAGACTTGAGAGAAATTCATTGCAGACAAATAATTGTCAAGTACATACTCATCATCATTGATATATAGAATAACCGGATCGTTTGTCATATTTTCTTTTGAGACAACATTTTATCGTGGTAGTACTATCAGCAGCTGACCATTTTGTCATAATCAAAGTATGAAAGAAAGAAAGAAAGAAAGAGAGACAGAGTGAAAGAAAGAAGTATGACACTCATATATACATGACATAATGTCCAATAAAGAGAAAAAAAGAAAAATGAGGTAAAAAAAAGACGTGCAATAGAAAGGACCCACTTTGTATGTTTGTTCAATAGTATAAGAAACAAGCAATTGTCGTCGTTGTTGGTGGTGTCTCACCATTATGAATCTAAGAATGAGCGCTTAAATCGAATAGTAGTAGTAGTAACAACAACAATAGAAGAAACAATCGTTACATAAGTATACTACTTGTTAGTCTGCTTGCCATTTTCTACTCGAACGATTCTTATATACTGAGTATGTCGAGGTCATCAGTACTGACTTATGAGTCGCTCAATTTCGTCGGCATAATTCTACTGCTATATAATACTTGTACACATACTTATATATGTATACACATTTATGAACAAAAAAAAACATCTGATCGTCATCTAAGCCGAATGGAGCAAATCATGTAGGTATGCATGCATTGAGTGGGATGATGAAGATTTAAACCACATTCAAACAGAGATGATGAGACAGCATAGCAATAACTGCTCCCACCTTTCTTACTCTTATATAACATGTTTATAATATACAAGTGACAATCGACACTTTCATACTTACTAGAAATAGTAGACGATATTCATTATCTATATACCCATTGTCTTCATGTTTTTTAATTAATAATAATAATAACAATAAAATAAAAATGCGTTCATAATCAATCTAAATCGATATCTGTGACATTCGATGAGAAAAAGACAGTCGCCGACGACGTCTGCTATTTCGTCACAGGTAATAAGTTTAACTTGTTATTTTTTCGTTTTTCTTCTCTTTTCTTATTGATTGCTTCCTCCTACTATGAAATAGATATTTTACTATATTGCCTAGTTGATTTGGAACGAATGTTCAAGGATGAACCGAACATTGAATAGGTAAATATTAAAGTATGCATATATATATATATACATATATGTATGTATATATACACATTTACGTATAGTAAAGTAGTAGGTGATATGAATCAATTTAAAATACATTCATATGTGTAGAAGATATACATGATTGATTAATGTAACTTGATTTGTGCATTGAAAAGCAGTGCTTAATAATGCTGATATTAGTGCGGTTTCGTCATAGAAGCGTTACCGTCACTCGTTTTTGCTTCTCTTTTTTGATGACTATCACAACTGTCGCCCCACGAATGAATGAGCACATATATATACAAGGTGGGCAATGGAGGTCGAATACGAAAAAAGAAAATGTGCACTTCGGAAAAAAAACGATAAAATAACTAATTTAATCCTTATCGATAGACAGTATTTAAATATATCTTAACCCTGAACTGACAAAACATTTAAAAAATTCATATCTAATGATTAATATCTACTGACAAGTATCAGTACGTTTCTTTTTAGTTTAACTGCTTATAAATCGTTGGATTTATATTCAAGGTTTCACTCGATTATGATTATACTAACTGTAATTATAATGATTGAAAATGAAAATGAAAAAATACTATAGGATTCATTGATCAATACAATTTATTAACATTGAAATATCGGTATTAAACAATCTAATAACCATGAGTTGAAGGTATAATAAACTTTAAATAATATATATTAACAATATAATTATTTTAGAAACGTTTAAGATGAAATAAGATACGTTATCGTTTAATTAAAATTTTAATTCCTTGCAAAGATTTTCAAAATTTATCATAAAAAGATCTTTATTTACTATCTTTCTTATCAGTTCATCATGATACTTATCATCTTTTACGTCTATGTATATATGATATGAGCGATTTGCTTATTTCAAGATCAATCTTAATTGCTACCGTAAAATTGTTTTATAAGTCGAAAGAAAAGATGCTTATCATTTTACTTAAATACTTACATGTAGAGATCAAACTGTGAGAACTCTTGTGTTCTATTTTAATAAAAAAAATCACATTTGATTGTTTCATTTGTATATTAATATTGAGTAAATCATAATTATTCTTAAATATAATATGAAAAGTGAAAATGTTTAGTTATTTATATAAAAATTCTTTCTATGAATACTAAAATATAACGACAAATAAAAACAAACAAGTTTAATGCAATATAACTTATCTCAATTTGATCTATATTGAGACTAACTTTGATCAAGGTCAATATTGAAATATACGTATGACAAATTTCATATGATGATTTACGAGTAAAACGTCGTATGTAGAAGGACTTCTAAATATACCTATTCAAATAATACTTTAAAAATAATAAAACTTCAATGAAGGACACTATCAATTAAATCTAATTATTCCAGTTAGAAATATATTCAAAACAACTAATAATATATACATTATCAAACATGGCAATATTTGATTTATAGTCTCATTATTTTTTCAGAAGTAGACATTTTCTGAAATCAGTTAAAATGACTTTGTCAAGCACATGTTGCCAGCGGCAAAACAGAAAAAAACTGTTGATACAAGAAGTATCAGATATATGTATATACACAAGAGCATGCATTAGAGAGTATAGTAAAAATAGATGACTTATTAAATACTAAATAACAGTATAATAATTAAATGAAATATTTTAATAGTTATATAGAGAAATTAACCGTAAAGCACTTTTATTATATATCAAAGGAAATAATGAGAATGTCTGAGTATTCTATTCATTTTTTTAAAAACACTGACCTATACATGTATGTGTATTTATGAGATGTAAATGCCATCTTCAAGGTAATGATAAAAGAAGAAGTGATATTTATGAAGTAGTTCATAGAGTATTCGGTGCAATAATATATAAATACTATTGATTACGACGTCTGTTTCCAAGCAAATGTAAATGATAATCTTAAAAATTAGTTATGAGGATATATCGTCGAAGAAGAGGAAAGCGATAGATAATGAACATTTACAAACAAGGTAAATCTATATTATATGATATTTCTATATATAGATTCAACACATGCTCGATAGACTTCGATTATAGACAATGCCATACACGAATATTATTACATCCTTGATGAAAGATCAGACAGAGAACCAGAAGGAGAAAAACTAATTTGTTTGACAAACGTGTCAGCTGATTGTGTTATCATTTCGAAAAAGTTCTATCAATAGTCATAAGTTGGTAAGAGAATCTATCTCGGAAAAAAACAAGTTGGTAAAAAGGAATATATTTAGGAAGAAGAAAAATTATTAATAATGAATCATCTTTAAGTCACCTGAAATATGAAAAATAATATCTCACTATAGTATGATGATGAAAGACAACATATAAACGTCATTATATCAATAATATAATATTGGTTATGTTGGAAATATAATAACCAGAATAATATTAAATCTTTCGAAAGAGTACAAATATAAAAGAATTAATTCAAATGAAAAATAGTTTCATTTTTTGTCTTGAATTATATCGCATATAATGACATTAAATAATACTTATGTAAAGAACGCTTACGGCCATACCACGTTGAATACACCAGTTCTCGTCCGATCACTGAAGTTAAGCAACGTCGGGCTCGGTTAGTACTTGGATGGGTGACCGCCTGGGAATACCGAGTGTCGTAAGCTTTTTGCTTTATTTTTTTTCCTGCTTTATTCTTATATATAGATATAAGACAAATTTTTAAAATTCCATTTGAAAACATTTTATACATTAATGAAATCAGGTATAAACACTTGAATCAATAATGATTCTTAGTATTTCTTAAGATCAATATTGAAAACATACTGAATACAATTGAAAAAAAATTGTCAAATAAAGAACAGTTAAATAGATTAAGAATAAATATATATATACATGTTTTATTATGAATACGATATAAATAATTAACTATATACAAAAAACAAGATTTCCTTTTTACATTTAATCATATATATTCGTATTGTATAGAACGACATTAACAAATAATTATATATAAATGTGCTACTTTCTTTTTTTTATTACAACAGAGTTATTATTAGAAAATTATTTTTTAAGGTAGATTATATTAGAAGTCATTTTCATTTTTTTGTCAATAATAACAATATGCTATAGAAGATGTTGATTCATAATATTTAACATTCTTTAAGTTTATTAGACATTGATTTGCATATATTTGAATTCATATTTTATATTCGAAATTCGATTATTTTCTCTTATTTTCATTACATGAGAAAAAAACTTTCTTATTTCTTATCATTCATCATACGTACATTACCTATTCTATGTGCATGACAGAAGTCGTTTAGCTTATTATTCATTATTGACATAATATTTAATCAAGAGAAAATAAAAAAAATACAAGATTAAACCCTATTACCATTTATTTGATTATAGGTTAAAATAAGAAGTACTTGGTATCAACTACTTTACATTAAGCTCTTATGGTAACGATATGTTTTGTAGATAAAACATTTATTTATTATAGAAATTAAAAAATAGATATTATTTCTTTTTTTCATTTTCGATGAAAGAAAAAAACATAAAACTAATAAGAGAAACCTTTCAGTTCAATTCTGGATAAAATAGAGAAAAAGAAATTTGACATTTCAAGTAGGTGTATCTACATATGAATTTGTAAATTACACGGTTGAATACAATATTCTGCGCATACTCTTTGACGTTCGTCTATTTCGTTTTCTTCTTCTTCTTCTTTTTCTTCATCTCCAACATTTTTATCGTATATCTTATTTTTTAAAAAATGGCAACCATTTCAGCAATGTGTTACTTTATATCATATTTTTCTTCTTTTTCTTCTCTTTCGCACTGTGTTTTATATGTAATAAAGAATGTTGTTAGATTTTTCGAGGAATGAAAGAGAAAAGCGAAAGAAAGAGAGAAAAGACAAGCACAAATAAAGTTTCTTAATAACAACCATGCGTGGGCATTATTGCATTCATAAAAACAGCTGATTTATATATGATCTTATCAGTATGGTAGTTGTACTATAACAATAAAGGAGAGTATTCATCATCTAATTTTGTCGGTTTATATTCAGCAAACAACAATATTGGTATAGAGACCTCGACTATCAAATGTCAAAAAAAAAGGAGTGTACTCAAAAACGATAGGTGACAGATTGTGCACACAATTATAATAGAGGATTGGAGGAACCGATAAAATGAGACAGACACAGAAGAGAAAGAGAGAAAAGCGATTAAGCTTTTGGTAAACTATAATATCATTATTTCAGATTCGAATAGACATAAACTATTTTTATACACTTTCAAGGCTGAATAGAAAAAAAAAGGCAATCATCACGTGAACTCCTACTAGCTATTCTATGTTTGACTCTCTTCGTAACAACCGGAACAATAACAACAACAACAGGTAATCACTTTTTTTTTTCATATTATAATAACAACGATTTGTTTTTCTTTGCTTGTTTTTTCCTACTTATACGTCATTTGATCGGCAAAATCATAACACATATGACTAGTTTTGTTTTCGTCATGACACATTCTTTTTCTTTTCTTTTTCTTACTAACTTTGTCGATATATACTTTTTATTATTTTTTAGTTTAATATCAGTCAAAATACCGCGCATACTTAATTATCCACGTGACGAGATCGAAGCGCTTTTAAAGCGTGAAGGACTCGATCAACGATTCCGTTTAAGTTATACACATGATAGAAAAACAGGTTCAACATGTCAAGTTTATTATGCACATGATTTATCGCAAAATGATCAACGAATTGTTGCACTTAAATTGATCCGAACGGATTTTATTGATAGTTTTGTTTCCCATGATGATTTATTAAATTTACAAAAAACAAAAAATTGTTTTTATAAACCAAAAAATGTTATTTATAATCGTCTTTTAAAAAATTTTGATAATTACATTCCAATTGAACAGTATCTTGGTGAACTTGGACGTTTATGTCCACATTTACCAATATCACGTTGTATTGAAAATGGTACAAAACGTCT